CTTTGCTTGGCTGGAAACCACAGGTGTGGTCTCAATTCCAGACCTGAAGGGTAGCTAGGGGCCATAGTCTCAGTGGTTCCACCAGGCTCTATTGGACCAGCAAACCTGGTCCCAACCATCCCCCCCCTTTATTATTTTTTTTTTCCCTCCAAATGATTTTGAGTTTTGTTCCACATTGTTCTCCCTCTCTATCCAGGATCTCCTACATCCCTTCCAAACAGTTTATTCTCTTACAGTTTGGAGACTTTAAGTCCAAGTTCAAAGTGCCAGGCTCTAGAGGCTGGGTGAAAGCCCCTCAGCCCTGGGCTTCAACTCTGCCTCCAGCTCTCGGCCCACTGAAGCTAGAGGCTTTTCTTCACTCAGACAGCTGCTGGCTGCTGAGACTGACAAGCCCAAGGCTGACAAGTAAAAAGGCACAATCTCAATGTTACCAAACCACACAGCAGACCATTAATTCAAGCCATTGTAAGTCCCAAGGTCGGTAGAGCATGGCAGACTGCTGAACAACAACACAGCTACATGCAGGGTCTAAGTGTGCCATAAACCGGCTGCTATCGAGTCAGGTCTGACTCATAGTGACCCCTACTTGAGTTTCCGAGATGGTATCACTAAAGAAGTAGATTGCCTGATCTTCCTTCCAAGGAGTGGCTGGTGGGTTTGAACCACCAGCCTTCTAGTTAGCAGTCAGATAGCTTATGCACTACACCACCAGACCTCCCAGTATGCTGTAAGCTAGAGACTATCGCCAAGGCCTCTCCTTATATACAGGAAGCAGACCACAGCCCCAAAGCAACTACTCAGCTGCTTGTGGTAGATCCCACCATAGAGTTGATTGCCAGTCTCATCATGGAGAATAACTACCACCAGCTACCCAGCCACTCAACCAGACCCAGCCAAGTTGATATACAAATTTAACTACCACAGAGGTTGTATCCACTTAGTTATATAAAAGAGTAAGATTTCTTTCTTTTTGCAGCTTCTTAACAGATTGTCTATGATGCATCACATTATGGTTTAATACGTGTTCAATAATAAAATGTTTTCTTTCTCTTCCATTTTTAGGCAGAATTTTTCTGGGTTGGCAGTAGATTTTGTTTTTAATTCAATTTCCCCAACAATTTCATTCAGTCCTCACTCTCTGGGAGCCAGATAAACACCTGTGCAGCCACTGCAACTCCAGGCACAAGAGGAAAGTGTTCCAAGAGGTATTTGGGTGAAAAGTGAAGCATCTAGCAAAGAGAAAATCATTCCTGATGGGGGGAATCCTTAGTGAAGAAGCCCCTATCACCCTGGCTCTTCAAGGATAGCTACGATCTGGAGGAGGCTGGGCAGATGGAGGACTTGCACTTCATTCAGCAGGCCCTCCAGGGTCCTTAGACCCTCCAAACTGGAGGATCTAAGCCCCTTTCTATTAAACACCATCTTTCTCTGCAGCATCTTTTAGGCTTTGGTTACCACCACCAAAAATTCCACCACATCTGGCTCTAGGGGCAAAGGAAGACTGGGAACAGGGGATCAGGCCTGGGGAAAAGAGTCCATGAGGCAGGGATGGGCCTGACACAGGGTCCTGGCAGCACTTCAAAAAGAGTGGGACTCCAGAGGTGGTGTGAAAGAGATAGGATGGGCAGAAATCACAGCTGGCTGGGCAGGAGGCATGGCAGGGTGGGAGTCAGAGTGACTCAGGCTTTCATCCCTGAGCTGGAAGAATGGTGATGCTGTTATTAGTAATGGGAAAGTGGGCAGGGACAGAAGGCTAGAAAGAGATGTGTATAGCCGAGCTATTTATGGTAGTTTCTAAACTGATTTCCCTGCCAACAGTCAGTGCCCCCTTCCTTGCTAATCTGCCCTACCCACCACTTCCAGCACTGTCTTCCAGAAGCATAGCCCTGGACAGTTTCTCAAGAGCTCAAAAACCTGCAGCAGCTTCCCACTGTCTAATACAAACAAATTTCAATAGTTTGTAGTATTCCATGGCTTCCTCTCCCTCACCACCCTTCTCTCTACTCCTTTCCCTACCCAAGAAGCCTAAATTTAGCCATTCCTCCAATAGTCCCTGCCTCTGACCCATTGCACTGTCCCTTCCTTCCTTCCACCTACTGGGCACTCATCACTGCCAAATGCTGCTGATACTTGGTGGTCAAGTCTAGGCACTGCGGGCAGGTGGCTGAGGCACACAGCCTTCATTGCATACCTAAAACATTGTACAAGGTTAACAAGCCCTGCAGCCTCCACCATAAAATAGTACAAAATAAGACTACTCTGATTTAAATTTTGTAAAATAGATCTTCACTACTTGTCAAACTGTGGTGGTGGAATACCGATTGAAATGTTTCAACAAACAGGTGCCAAGAAATTTGGAAGACAGGTACCTGACCAATCGGCTGAAAGACATCCATATTAGTTTATGCTCATTCCAAAGAAAGATGATCCAAGAGAATGTGGAAACTATCAAACAATATAATTAATATCCCACTCAAGTAAAGTTTTGCTGAAAATAATTCAAAAATGATTGCAGTAGTGTAAGTGTGAGCAAGGGATTGCTGATGTCAGATAGATCTTGGCTGAAAGTAGAGAATACCAGAAAGATGTT